TCAGTAGCCAGAGAAGCCGGCTTGTTCGTGGGTGATGACTTGGGGTCTTGTTGGGACGGGGAGACCAGGACCGGCCCCACCCCCATCCTGTGAGGCCTAACAAGTTTTGTCACTGAGTAACGCCCTCTTTCTAGCCCGCGGTGTTTGTTTACCATATTAAGGGTTCAGACCGAAAAACCACCTGGATATTCTCCAGGGGAGAAAAATGTTCATCCTGGGACTGAAGTGACAGTACAGTGTGTAGGGAGCTTGTCTAGTACGTGACCGACCCTGGGTTCAATCCCCAGAATCCCATATGGTATTCCGAGCACCACCAGGAGTAATTCCTGAGTGGAGAGCCAGCCAGGAGTAACCTCTGAGCATGTCTGGGTGTGACCCAAAAAGCAAAAAAGAAAAAGAAAAGAAAAATGTTCATCCAAGATACCTAAAAAGTTTGGGGTTGAAGAGCTAGTATGGTGTATAGAGCAATTAGCTTGTCTTTAGCCTACCCAAGTTGGAGCCCCAAGATCCTATATGGTTCCCAGGTTCCCAGCCAGGAGTGATTCCTCAACAGAGCCAGAGTAAAACCCTGGAATTACTCCTGGCAGGGAACTATATGGGATGCCAGGGGTCAAACTCGGGTTGACTGCATGCAAGGCAAGTGTCCTACCCACTAGACTATCACTCTGCCCCCCACAAGTTCATTTTATTGCCAGTACAACCTGTCAAACCTAGTCATCACAAGCCAACATTCCTCTTTAAGTCTTGCCCTGTTGGAGTATTGAGGTGGGCATGAGGCTCACGAGCAGAGCACATGCCAACGGGAGCTAGGGATCCCCAGAATCGTAAAAAGAAAAAACCTAAATCGTCTCAAGCCTCTGAGTTCACAAGACTATTTTGCTATGCAGGAACATATGGGATATGAGCAAATTCATCTGCTCTGATGCCTCTGTAGCAGATGTCATGTGCTGAGTTTTATCTGCACTTCATTGTTCAGTAGGTTTAAATCCTTGAGAGCAACACAGCATCGCGTGTCCTGTGTCCAGTGATCAGAAACAGGAAGGTGGTTTCAGAATTTGGTCCAAACCCTGCCTCTGTTCCACTTACCTTAGGTGATGCCATTTTTTGTTAGAATGGCCACTAGGAGGCACTGTGGAGTTCTTAGCGTTGCCACCAGGAGTCACCACTAGGGGTCACTGTGCGGCTCTTAGTGTTGCCACCAGGAGTTACTGTGGGATTCTTGGTACCCATAAACTCCTTTCTCAGGAACTGTTTCTTTTTTCTTTTTTGGCTTTTTGGGTCACACCTGGCGATGCTCAGGGGTTACTCCTGGCTCTGCACTCAGGAATCACTCCCGGTGATGCTTAGGGGACCACATGGGATGCCAGGGATAGAACCTAGGTTGGCCACATAGCACTGTAGCACTATCCTCCCATCTATTTGCTTGAGCGGGCTCCAGTAACGTCTTCACTGCGAGACTTGTTGTTACTGTTTTTAGCATATCGAATACGCCACAGGGAGTTTGCCAGGCTCTGCCATGTGGGCAGGATACTCCCCATAGCTTGCTGGGCTCTCCGAGAGGGGCTAAGGAATGGAACCCGGGTTGGCCTCTTGCAAGGCAAACTCCCTACCCGCTGTGCTATCTCTCAGGCCTAGGTTGGCCACGTACAAGGCAAAAACCCTACCTGCTGTACTATGGCTCTGGCCCAGAAATAAGTGTTTCACCTCGCACTTGTTTTTCTTTTTGGGTCACACCTGGTGATGCTCAGTGGTCACTCCTGGATCTGCAGTCAGGAATCATTCCTGGCGGTGCTCAGGGGGCCATATGGGATGCTGGGAATTGAACCCAGGTCGGCTGCGTGCAAGGCAAATGCCCTACCCGCTGTGCTATCGCTCCAGCCCCTCACCTCGCACTTAAACACCTTCAATTTTAAGTCAAGTTATGTTTGTCCTCTGCTTCCAAAGCCCTTGCTTGTAAGCAAATGTGGCCGTAGAGGGCCAGAGAGATAGTATAATGGTTACGGCATTTTCCTTGCCGTGACAAAACTAAGTTAGATCCCCAGACCCCGTTGGTCATTCCCCCAGCCCACCAGAAGTGAGCACCAACTAGGAGTAAGCCCTGAGCACAGTCAGGTGGGAACCAAAACAAAACAAAGGTGGCCTTAGACCCTCAGTTCCCCTGCCGCAGTTGTCCTTTAGTATTCAGGATGGCAGGGAGCCAGTTTGGGGCTTTTTGGTTTATTTTGGGGCCGTAGCTGACAGTGCTCAGGGGTCACATCTGGCAGTGTTGGAGGCCCTTGTGAGCCAGGAATTGATTCTGGGCCTCCTTTATGTAAAGCATGTGATTCGCTTATGGAGCAATTTCTGCCCTAGGTTTTGGATTTTTTGAGGTGGTACACCTGGCAGTGTTCAGGACTTACTCCTGGCTCTGCACTCAGGACTTACTCCTGGCGGTGCTTGGGGGATTAGATGGGATGCCGGGAATCAAAACCACATCGGCTGAGTGCAAGACAGTCACCCCACCCACTGAACCACTGCTCTGGCCCCGAAAAAGCACAGTCACAACTGGTTCCACTGGGGACCAAAGCCAGGACATTCTGTGTGTATAGCAGACATGCAAACCCATACGGCATGAACCAGGAGCCCAGCTTCTGGAGTTTTAAATGTTGGGAATAGAGGCCTCGTCCTCCCAGTCCCATGTGGCTCTGATATTTTGGGGGTTGGTGCCTGGGTCTGTGGGGGCAGACTGAAGGTCTGGCACATGTTAAACATGTCCCACGAGCCATAAGCTTGGCCTTAGAGGTCATGTTTTTAACTTTAAAAATCGAAACCTGATAGTGAGGGTTTTGAAAATTAATTGAAATCCCTTCACAGTTTTTTTTTTCTTTTTGGGTCACACCCAGCCATGCACAGGAGTTACTCCTGGCTCTTCAGTCAGGAATCACTCCTGGCGGTGCTCAGGGGACCATATGGGATGCTGGGAATCGAACCCGGGTTGGCTGCGTGCAAGGCAAACGCCCTACCCGCTGTGCTATTGCTCCAGCCCCCCCAGTTTGATTTTAATAATGAACTTCATTGTTTGGTTTGGGGGCCACAGCAGAGGCGCTGGGGAGTAATCCCCACTCCCTCTGGGCTGTGCTCTGGCGAGTGATGTGGTGCAGGGATGGGAACCTTGCACTCACCTGCCCAGTCCAGAGTTCTCTGGCCTCATCGTGATTTTGTTTGGGTGATGCTCAGAGGTTACTCCTGGCTCTGCACTCAAGAAATTACCACTGCCAGTGCTGGGGGAACCATATGGGATTTGGGGATCAAATAACACCAAGGATTGAATGATACCAGTTCAGCCACGGGCAAGGTGAATGCCCTCTCTCTCCAGTCCACACTCTCTGAATTGGCACCGAGTTTGGAACCCCAATGCGGTAAAGTTCTTGCAGGGGGGTGGAGAAAGGACGGGGTAAGGCACTCACTTTGCATGAGTCAGGGTCTGGTCTGGTTCCCCGGAACAGCATATGGTCCCCAACCCTGCCAGGGGTCACTCCTGAGCAGAGCCAGGAAACAGTCTCAGAACACTGATGAGTGTGGCCCCCCCAAACAAAACATTTTTTTTTGCTGTTTGGGTCACATCCGGCGATGCACAAGGGTTACTCCTGGCTCATGCACTCAGGAATTACTCCTGGCGGTGCTCAGGGGACCATATGGGATGCTGGGAATCGAACCTGGGTTGGCTGCGTGCAAGGCAAATGCCCTGCCTGCTGTGCTATCTCTCCAGCCCCAACAAAACATTTTTAAAAAGCTCTTCTGGATTCAAATGGGAACTGGGGTACCATGCACTGTTTCATCGTGTGACTGTAACGTGACACGGGACATAGCATGTAGGGGGCAGGGGGTGGGCTCTAACCCTATCATCTCACAGCGGGTGGAGTATATGGGGTCTTTGTTGTTTGAGGGGGGCCATACCCCGCTCAGGAGTTGCTCCCAGTTCTTAGGGGCTCGTGTTGTGCCAGGAATCAAAGTTGCCTGTCACCTGTCATGCCAAGCACGCATCCCATTCTTCCCAACCCCTCCAGGCCTATCCTCGAACTCGAAGCCTGGGCCGGGCCCCAGGAAGCAGAGCATGTGGCCACTTGCTGTTTCTCTGGCCTGAGTCTTAGGATTTCCACCCCCTCCTCGTACCCAGGGGACACTCCCGTGGCCCACCCCGAGGCCAGAATGGGGTCCTGTCTCAGTACTGACTCTGGGCAGCAGTGATTCTCAGCGACCACTCCTCGGGGCCTGAGTTCCGCGGGAAATGAGTGCCCGGTCCAGCTTTTTCCACATTCTGGGAACAACAGCGGTGATGTGAGACAGAAGGTGGCAGAGAGGGACAAGCTGGATGGCATCAGCTGGAAGCTTGTTTGGAGGTTCTAGCAGGGGAGCGCAGCTACTCGTATGCCCTCGACCGAAGACCGGTCCGTCTCTATTCGGGGAAGGCCGTCCTCTTCGACCGAGCGCGCAGCTTCGGGAGGGACGCACATGGAGCGGTGAGGGAGAAAGGGGACACCCGCCTAGCCAGCCACATCAGCCGAATCAACCGTGGCGATCAATGGGGTGACAGATGTCGCAGCCAGATCGCCCTCACATCCAAGGATGGCATCAGTTGGGGACAGAGACTGGTGAGTCTCCGAGCCACAGCAGGGGCAGGGTGCTGGGGTAGCCGGCTGTCCTCCCTCCCCGTGGGCCCCCATACGGCATCCAGCCCCGGCCTGGGGACCCCCTCAAGTGTCTCCTGTCTGAGCAGGTCCCTCTCCTCTCCACTCCCTAAAACAGTGCGACCCAGGCCCCCTCGCCCTTCCGAGCGTCCCAGTTCCACTGTCCTCAGTGGGGCAGCCAGGCAGGAGAACGAAGGAAGAGGAGGGGCTCCGGGCTAGGCCCCCCTCCGTTCTGGCTCTCCTGGACGGGCCCACCCCCGCCCCTGGGGTTCTGGAATCGGCCCCTCTGGTGTTCTCTCTCTGCCTTCTAGAAGCCCGAGCCGCACTGCGGACGGCGCGGCGGAAATGGAGTCCCGGGCCATGCCCCCGCAGGCCGCCCAGCCGAGCGCGGGGTACTGGACGCGCGAGTCGAAGCCCATGGCCTGGCGGGACCGCATCCTGGTGTTCCTCCTGCCCCAGGGCATGATGCTCACGCTGGCGGCCATCGTGCTCTTCTTAATCCACCTGGGCGTCCTCGCCAGCGACATCCACAACTTCTACGTCACCCACCACTACGACCGCATGAGTTTCCGCTACACCGTTGTCCTCATAGTAGGCTGGGGCGGCCCGGGGCTGGGGGGACGGGGGGCTGCCGGGACCCCCGCGCCCATCTGTGCCTAAACGCTGTCCCCTCACCCCCCCACCGGGTGCCCCCGCAGTTTTCCCACGTCATCAGCATCTGCTGGGCCGCCATGGGGTCGCTCTATGCCGAGATGACGGACGACGAGGCCCGGCGCTTCTTTTCCGTGATTGTCCTGAGTGAGTGGGGGCTGGGGTGGGGGTGGGGCGCCCCGGCACCCAGGGGCACTCACGGGGACGCTCCGCTCTGCTGCCAGTGCTCAACGGGGTCATGTTCTTCAACCGCCTGTGGCTGGAGTTCGTGGCCATTCAGTACCGCGAGGAGTACCACTGAGGCACGCGGCTGCGAAGGGCAAGCAAGAGGGCCGCTCCCGCGTCTTAATAAAGTCTATTGTTTATTCCCGGACCGCGGCGGGGGAGGGCGGGGTGCGGGCCGGGGGAGTGTAGTGTCAAAGGCCGGAAGGGGGTCGGGGCGGCACCCGGGGGGGGCCAGGCCCCCACCCTACCCCCCTGTCTCCCCACCTCAGGCCCCCCAGGTCCGCAGCAGGCCCAGCCAGGCGTGGGACTCAGGAGGGGCCCACGCGGATGTGAGGGTTCAGGAGCGGGTCGAGGTTGGGGTCGCTGTCAGCCGCCGCCCGGCCCAGGCGCGCCAGGAGGGCCAGCAGGGCCAGGAAGCCCAGGAGCCCGAGCAGGAAGAGCAGTCCCGCACGCTGCAGCAGCGTCAGCGGCCGCTTCCGGGGCCCGGCCCGGCTCCTGTGGGCGGGGAGAGGCAGGTGAGCTCCCGGGGCACGCTGGGACAAGGGCCACCCCGACTCCTGCCCGCTCGTGGGGTGACTATGTGCCTCTAACAGGCTGCCGCCAGGCAGAGACCCAGCCCCACCCACACACGGACAAGTCCCAGGACTCCCCCACCCCCACCCCAGGGGCCCCTGGCACCACTGCAGGCTGAGCCCCAAGGTCACGATGCCAACTGGGGCCACGTACCGGAGCAGCTGGGCCAGCCAGCCCAGGGCAGGCCGGCGCCGGTACTTGTCATCATCACAGTCGCCCTGGACACCTGCTGCCCGGTCACTGTCCCGCGTGTCGTATACTTTCCTCGGAGCAGAGCCTGGGGGGGGGGGGCGGGGCAGAGGCTCAGCCCTGAGAACACTCGTCCGCCCCGTCCCACCCTCCCGCTCCTCTGGGCTGGACCACGGCCCGACTCACCATGGGCCATGGGCTCGGAGCTGCCCATGTGGATCACTGTGTGTTGCTCGGGCCGGCTGGGGGGTGGGGCGGGGTTGTAGAAGGTGGGGGCTGCGGAGACCCCAGTCGCTTCCTCGTGCTCGGGGCCGCTTGCTGTGGGTAGGAGCGCACAGTGAGCGGAGCGGGGGTGCCGGCCCAGCAGCGGGGGCGGCCTCACGTACCGTTAAAGCTGGCCCAGTCGGAGAAGCTGGACGTGCTGAGGGCCTCGGGCTCTGGGCTCTCCGCCTCTTCGATCTAAAGGAAGCCACGCGTCAACAGCCCGCTCACGGCTGTCCCCATCCATCCAGCTGACCAGGAGGGCCCCAGGACAAAGGCACACTCGCAATCACAGACAGACAGACAAGGGCATGCATGATCACACGCACAGAATGAGGGATACCCACTATCACAGGCAGATGGACAGACGGACACCCCCGATCACAGGGAGATGGACAGAGGGACACCCACGATCACAGGCAGCAGACAGAGGGACTCCCACAACTACAGGCAGACAGACAGAAGGATACCTATGATCACAGGCAGACAAAGGGACACCCAGGATCACAGGCAGATGGACAGAGGGACATCCACAATCATAGGCAGATGAACAGACAGACACCCATGATCACAGGCAGACACAGAGAGGAACACCCATGATCACAGGCAAAGGGACACCCACGATCACAGGCAGATGGACAGACAGACACCCATGATCAAAGGCAGACAGAGGGACACGCACAATCACAGGCAGACAGAGGGACGCTCACCAGCGGAAGGCCTAGTCCTGCCCGGGCCCAGTTGACTGTGGCCAGTTTGTCTCTCAATGCAGAGGCCACGGGGCCGGCCAGGTTGGCGGGGGGGAAGAGGGGACCGTTGCAGCTGGGGCACTGGTAGCCAGCAGGCGCTGTGTTTTCGGGGAGCTTGGCAGCATGTTCGTTGAGGCAGGCCCAGTGGAAGAGATCTTTGGAGCCAGGAAAATAGGGGAGGAGAGACATGAGGGGGCGGCAAAGGGCCTCGAACCCAGCAGAGGCCCCGTCTGGCATCTCAGCCTGCGCCCCACCAGCTGTGCCCGGGAATGCAGCCTTCTCAGCCGTCACTGGGCAGCCTGACCCACGGCAGGGTGCGGGGGGGATGCCACCTCCTCCTCCCGTGTCTGCCCAAACCCTGTTCATCACCAGTGCAGTGGACGCCCAAAGAGGTTCCCAGACCCAGCCATGGAGCCTGTGCATGCCCGTGGCATATCTGCGAAGTACCAGCCACCATATGGGCGAAGGGCCACACGACCTGTCACATCGACACACCCGAGTGCCTGCGAACACTCCAGACCCCATCACTCACCCTATGCTTACAAAGGTGCTGGGACTTCTACGAGACGCATCACGGGCAAACCCTCCCTGTGTGCGCTCACACAGGCGCACAGACACAAAGACCGAGTGACTCTATCTAGCCCTTTAGTGCCAGGAGGGAGATGGTTCAAAGTGCTGAGTGCAGGTTTGAACCCGGTACTTGCCTGTCCAGCCAAGACCCAGAAACTATAAAACCCTGCTCCTGGAAGCACGCGGCCACATTTGCAGCCGCGCAATGTCTTATTATCCAGTTCTTACTCTGGAGAACCTGACAGGCTACCCAAAGTAGCCTGCCCACACGGCAGAGTCTGGCAAACTCCCCATGGCGAATTCAATATGCCAAAAAACAGTAACAATGATGGGTCTCATTTTCCTAACCCTGAAAGAGCCTCGAATGTGGCACTTCTTAAAATCTCAGGGCTAGGACGAAGGAGATGTAACTGGGGCCTGCTCGAGGCAATCGATGAACAACAGGATGATAGTAATACAGTGATACTGCCTGTCCCCTGATCACCACCAGAAGGACCCCCCAAGCACTGCCGGGGCGGCCCCAAACATCACAGGGTATGCCCCCCCCACACACAGCCCAAAAAGGTGGAGCCAGGGCGAGGGGTGTGACCTGGGCGGCAGGGCAGTGCCCTGCAAGGGTAAGGCCGCAGATTTGATTCCCGGCCCCATCAGCTCTTTGCCAGGTGCGAACCCCCATAACCACTGAAAAACGGAGATGCGGAGATGGATCAAAGGGGTGTGTGTGGGGGATGGCCTGCATGCACGGGTACATGGGCTTGGTCCCTGGCATGTGACCGTCCACATCACCATATCACGGGCCCTCGCTGAACTGAACTGTCCGGCCCAGGGGCTGAGTACCCCGGGGGTGATCTCCAAGCCCATGGGGAACTGTTCACGAGCCCCCAAACAAACAAACAAACAACTGTGGAACTAAAGTTCTTGCACCAGTAAGATCAAGGATGCAGAACATTATCTGCCAACTTCTCCTCAGGGGTACTGGGGGAGGGTTCTGAGCACACCTGGACACCTAGGCCTGAGGTCACTATGGAGGTGCTCAGGGTCACGAATGCAATGCCCAGCTTTTTTTTGGGGAGGTGGGGAATCACATGGTGCGGGGGCCTCATACATGCCAGATGCGCGTTCTACTGCTCCAACCCCATCTCCAATCTGATGCGAACTTCATTTATCTTTTGATTCTTGGGTCACATCTCACTGTTCTCAGGGGCTCCGCCCAGCGCTCAGGGGACCATGCGATTGCTAGGGATGGATCCTGGGCCTCCACATGCAAAGCAAGCGCCTGTCCTGCTCGCTCTCACTCTCCCTCTCTCTCTCTCTGTCCCTCTGGTGAGGTCTTTGCCTTCCTAAGGGCACCTTACTCTGCTGTGTTTGTTTGGGAACGGAGAGTAGATCCTGAAAGGGCCTCTCGGCCACCTCCCTACCCCCAGCCTGAGTAGCTGTTGAGCTCAAGCCCTGCAGGACATAAGCAGAGAAAGCACTGAGTGACAGTTAAGGACCAGGTGAGGACTCTGAATATCGGCTATAGTCTTCCAGGCTTGAGGGGTGGGGGTCAGGAGGGTCTCACTGAGAGGACCTGGGAGGAACCTGCCTCACCTAGCTGGGCCTCCTGCTCCCCACCACGCGCGTGCCCCAGGTCTCACCATAACAGATGAGGCGGGTGGTCTCCCGGGTGGTCAGGGGTGCATTGCACAGGCGGCAGTTCGGGTTGTAGTCACTGTCTTGGAGCCACTGCAGGTAGGACTGGACGATGCACTGGATTCGGGGAGAGAGGTCACAACTGGAGCAGGGGGCAGCGCGCCCATCTCCCCAAGGCCCGGCCGCCTCTCTCTCATCACAGAGAAGCATCTTTTGGACTGTCCAAATCCATCAGCATTTATTTAGCACAGCTGTGTGCCAGGCTGTCTTAAGGGCAGGGGGGCACAGACACCGCGTTCTTGCCCGCATGGAGCTTCCGTTCCGGAGGACGCCCTTCACGGACAGGGAGAAGCCAAAACTGCGGGCCCGCCCGGTGCCCTGTTCCCTTGCATCCCTGGAGGCCCCACCTTGGCGTGATTGGCTACCAGGCAGTGCTCGCAGACATTCACTCGGTGTTCGAAGCAGAACAGGTTGGTCACTTTCCTCTTGGGGCACTTGCAAAGCCCCATGGTCGGCCCTGGAGAAGGAGCCTGACTTGTAGCGTGCCAGCTCGCTGGCCCCCTTAACTCTCACAGACACCCCTCAGTTTTGCTCCAAGTCCAAACTCCTGTCCGCCGCCCCTCTTCATTCCGGGCCACCAAGCGAGATCCACCCCCGACCCCCCCATCATTCCTCTGGGATCCCGCCCCCGCCAGGCGCGCCCACCAGCGTCCCTTCCAGCACTATCGACCCCGCCCCCAGGGCCCCGCCAGAGCCCCGCCCCCCGAGCCCCGCCCCCACCTCCTCCAACGACCCCCCTCTCCGGGTTACTGATCGCTCGCGGAGCCGGTCCCGTCAGCTACGAACGCCGGACCGAGGCGCGGAAGGACAGACGACACTCGGAGCTCCGACTCCGCTGCCTCCAGCCCCCAGCCGCTCCGGTTTATCCCTCCGCTGCCACGTCTCTTCCGGGTGCGGCGCACGCTGATGACGCCACGGCCCCGGCCCCGCCCCCCCGGGCGCGAGCAGGCGGGGCGAGCGCGGCGGCCCGCCTCCCGCCTGGCGTCACTTCCGCTTCCTGGCGCGGAGGGCGGGTAATTCGAACGTTTCTGCGGGAGGCGGTTTCGTGGCGGCGCGAGCCCGGGAAGCGGCGGCCGAGAGCGGGACGAGGCATGACCGGGAAGCAGGCGCGGCGCTCGGGTGAGCGGCGGGCGCGCGGGGCGGGCGCGGCCGGACGCGCCGACTGGAACCCGGGCGGGGCCCTCTGCGTGTCGCGGTGCCTCACGGGGCGGCCTCGCTTGTTCCCAGGGCCCGCGAGCCCCGCCGAGCCCCTGCGGAGGTCGCAGCGGAAGTCGGTCTCCGAGCTGCGGGGCCCCGGCAGCCCCCCGCGCGGGAGCCCGTCGCACGGGGTCCGCCCCGGCCAACGCACGGAGCTCGCGGCGCCCCCTCCTCCGACGGAGCCGCGCCCCAAGGCCATCGTGCTGAGAAAGATCGTGGCCCCCGCGGCCGAGGTGAGCGCCGGGGCCCCGGGGTGCCGGGCTGGAGGGGAGGGCGGGGCTCCCCGCCCACCGCATCCGTGACCCGCCTGTTCCCTCCCGCAGAGCCCCGCGGTCCACACGCCTCGCAGGAGCCCAAGGGTGAGTCCGGGTTCTGTTCCCTCCCGCCCCACGCCGGCGGGGCTGGGACTTGCCCGCTTGGGGGATGGTGCTGTCGCGGCTCAGGGTCCTGGCCCGGGCGGTCGGGATTGAGAGCAGGGATGCCAGGTGGCCGGATTCATTGGTTTTGGCTTGGGGGCCACTGCCAGGCTAGACGCAGGGCTTACCCCCCCCCCCTCTGCATTTAGGGATCACTCCCCGCGGCGCTCAGGGATGACTCCCGGACTGACCCCAGGTTGTGCACATGCAATGCCCTCTCCTCCTCACTGTGGTTCCCGCAAAGATTATATACTCTTAACTGGTGGGGGGGATGCAAACCCAGCCTTGATTTTTATTTTGGGTCACACCCGTGGGCTCGGGGCTGACTCCTGATTCGGCCATCGGGGATCACTCCTGGCGGGGCTCAGGGAACCTCATGGTGCTGAGAATGAAACCCAGGTCGGCCTCCTGCAAAGCAAATGCCTTCCCCGCCGAACTGTCTCTCTGACCCCTCCCCAGCTGTTTGGTGTTCTGTTTTTTGACCACACCTGCAGGTGGTTGGGGGCTACTCCAGGCTCAGTGCTCGGGTGTTGTGCCTGGTTGGTACAGGCAGTGGCGGGGATTGAACTCAGACTCCTGCATACAAAACCTGTGCACAGCACATCGAGCTGTCTCTGACCCTCTCCCCGGGGCTCATTTGGTCCTTGGGAGATAAGTGTGGGATGTTTTTACAGTGGACGAAAGACTTGGGCTCTGTTGTCAACGTGTGCTGAATAGGTGTGGAGGTGGGAGGAACTCAGTGCGGCTCACAGTCCAGCGAGGGGACTGCCAAACCCACAGACGTATGGTAATGTCTGCTCTAAGGAAAGTTCTAGATACTGCGGACATGCCATATGCAGGCAAGGCACTCAGGGAAGTAACACAGTGAGATTGAATCTTTTTCTTTTTCTTTTTTTTTTTTTGCTGGAGCAATAGCATAGCGGGTAGGGCGTTTGCCTTACAAGCGGCCAACATGGCCGACCCGAGTTCGATTCCTCCGCCCCTCTCGGAGAGCCCGGCAAGCTACCGAGAGTATTCAATATGCCAGACACAGTAATAACAAAGTCTCCAATGGAGACGTTACTGGACCCGCTCGAGCAAATCGACGATCAACGGGAGGGCCTTTTTGCTTTTTGGGTCACACCCGGCGATGCACAGGGGCTACTCCTGGCTCTGCACTCAGGAATTCCCCTGGTGGTGCTCAGGGGACAATATGGGATTCTGGGAATTGAACCCGAGTCGGCCGTGTGCAAGGCAAATGCCCTGCCCACTGTGCTATTGCTCCAGCCCCAAGATGGAATCTTTAAAGATCTGCGGAGTGTCTTGGGCCAAGGAGCCTGTGTTTGCGCAGAGACCCAGGGTCCCTAAGGAGAAGCCTGAGGTCTGGCGAGGGCCAGCTGCCCCGTTGGGAGGGACACGCTGAGCCGGCCAGGGCTGAGGAGGTGCGAGAGCCACGCTCAGGGCCTGGGTTGCAGCCTGAGTCTTTGGAGTCTTTGCACACAGCCTTTGGAGTCAGAAGCAAGGTAGTGATTGAGGCAAGCACTGTCTTCTAGAAAGGTCTGGACGGGTTGGGGCTTGAGTTGAAGAAAGCCTAGGAGACCCCAAGACCAGGTACTATTTTCTTTTTAGGGGTTGGGCATTTGTGTCACCCCTGGTGGTGCCCAGCTGTTCCTGGCTCTGGGCTCAGGGAGTCCCTCTTGGCAATGCTTCGGGATCCACAGGCGATGCCAGAGATCACCCCAGCATCAGCAGTGTGCAAGGCGACGCCTTACCCCTGTATTATCTCTCCAGCCTCGGCATCCGGGTAGGGGGGGTGCTGGGAATGGTGGCAGAATGCCACGCCCACCCTCTGTCATCATGCTGTGTTCTCCCAACCCCTCAGCTCACCTCAGCTGGGAGGCACCTCCTCCTAGAAGTCTTCCTGAAGCACGGCTGTGATTTCACTTTCACTGTCACAGTTCATGGAGGTTTTTGTTTTGTTTTGTTTTGTTTTGTTTTGTTTTGCTTTTTGGGTCACACCCAGCAATGCACAGGGGTTCCTCCTGGCTCTGCGCTCAGGAATTTCCCCTGGCGGTGCTCAGGGGCCTGTATGGGCTGCTGGGAATCGAACCCGGGTTGGCCGCGTGCAAGGCAAACGTACTACCCGCTGTGCTATTGCTCCAGCCCCCAGTCCATGGAGTTCTTGACCTTACATGTGTCGGCCTGTGTCGCAAGTGTCTCTTGGGTAACTCTGGGCCCCCTCCGTTAAGCGCATATTCTCATTTTGTTTTGTTTTGTGGTTTCGGGGCCGCACCGGACACTCAGGGGTTACTCCTGGCTCCGTCCTCCAAGATCACTCCTGATGTGTGGCCGTGTGGGACGCTGTGTTGGGGTGCCAGGCAAGCGCCTCACCCGCTGCACTGTCGCTCCAGCCCCCTTTAACACACGTTAACTGGTGCTTGCTGGGAAACTGACGGTGGCTCTAGGGACAGAAGAAACAGCAGCCGAGGGAAGCTGCGTTTTGTTCAGCCTCTGACTGAGACCCACAGGGCAGACTGCCCAGCGCCCTTAGCCTGGAAGCCGCTGTCTGGAGAAGCGACGCACTTCTCTGAGATGACAGGAGCCCCCTCCCCCGTCTTGCCCATCCCTGGCAGCCCCCCAAGCTCATCTTTCAGCGCCGAGCGCGTCTCCCCGCAGGCCTCTGCTGGGGCATTGGGGTCCCGGTGAGCCGGGCTGGAAGGCCCTTCTCAGAGTGCTCCTATCCGAGCTGGGCTGCCAGTCAGCCTGTGTGCAGGACAAATAAAAAGGTAGTCCCGGGGGAGGGGGATGCCGTGTGTGTGTGTGTAATGCCACGATCCTTGACATCATGTGCCCCCCTCAGCCTCCCCGGGTATCCCAGTACAGAGCCAGGAGTAGCATCCGGGCCCTGCTGGGTATGATTCAAGCCAAAACAAATCAAAAAAGCAGGGGGAGCCAGAGAGATAGCACAGGGGTTAGGGTGCTTGCCTTGCACTCAGATCCTGGCATCTTTCAGCACCGAGCGCATCTGGGGCGTTGGGGCCCCGGGAAGCCGGGCTGGAAGGCCCTTCTCAGGGTGCTCTGTGCGAGCCGGGCTGCCAGTCAGCCTGTGTGTGAGAGAAATAAAAAGGTAGTCACAGGGGGAGGGGGATGCCGTGTGTGTGTGTGTGTGTGTGTGTGTGTGTGTGTGTGTGTGTGTGTGTGTGTGTGTGTGTAAAACTCCACCATCCTTGACGTCACGTGCCCCCGTCAGCCTCCCTGGGTATCCCCAGTACAGAGCCAGGAGTAGCATCCGGGCCCTGCTGGGTATGATTCAAGCCAAAACAAATGGAAAACGCAGTGGAAGCCGGAGAGATAGCACAGGGGTTAGGGTGCTTGCCTTGCACGCGACTGACCCTGACTCAAGTCCTGGCACCACATGTGGTTCCCAGCACCGCCAGGAGTGATCACTGAGCACAGTTCCAGGAGTAGACCCGGATCACTGCCATTTGCCGCCCCAAAGCCCCCGACCACCCCGTCACCCCCACCCCCAGGGAAGAAACCAGAACGGCAGTAATGGGGTGTGGGTAGTTCTTGGTTTCCTCCCCGCTGTTTCAGTCTCGTGTGTCCGGATCTGTCCCCCACGTGTCCCCCAGGGCTCGGGTCTCAGGGGGAGTAACCGCAGGGCCACTGGCTCTCGTCTGTTCCCTGCAGATCGCCCTCTTGGAGAAGGAGAACTGCCCCCCCGGACCAGAGCCCACCTGGGAGGACCTCTTCAAGTCCTGTGAGGCGCCGGACACCCCCGCCTCCACGCCCCTGGTGCCCCCGCTCAGCGCCAGTGCCCTGGACCTCAGAGACTTGGAGATGTCCAAGAAAGTTCGGCGCTCCTACAGCCGCCTGGGCAGCCCCGGCGCCGCCACCACCTCCACCCCCACCGCCGGCCGCCCCTCCTACTTCGGCTTTGAGGGACTGCTGGCAGTCGAGGAGCCGCCCAGGGTCTCGCCCGTGGTATGCTCCAAGGCCACCGAGGTCCTGCGGGCGCCCCAGGAGCCCTGGGTCCCCGACACCATGCTCCCCGGCATCTCGCCCCTGGTGGCCAAAGAGAAACGGAAGAAGAAGAAGGTTCCGGGAATCCTGGTGAGTGGGGCAGCGGGGGGGCACTTAGGCGATGTCCACAGGCTGAATCCGGCACCGGGGCCCCCCGTCATCCGTTCCCCGCCCCCCGTCCTCCCCTCACCTCCACTTTCTTTCCCCCCAGAAATCCGAGCTGGATGAATGGGCCGCGGCCATGAATGCCGAGTTTGCAGCTGCTGAGGAGTTTGATCTTCTGATTGAATGAGATGCTCTGGGGTGCATCTGGCCAGACCCGCCCCGCTCCCTGTACATAGCCCCCTCACCCTGTGGGGATGGCCACCGGGGTCTCTTGGATTGATCCCCCAGCTTGTTCCATGGCTGACTGAGGTTTGCCGCTCGGCAGCAGGAAAGGGGCCCCCTGTGCACACCTGGGGTCATGCCCCCGTCTACATCTCCCCGGTGAGACGGCTTGCCCCCGGCTGCCTCCTATTAGCTGCTCCGAGCCTGGAGACTTTCGGGATGGAATCCCAAGGAGAACTGAGAATCAGACTCTTGCATGCCTGGGGCGGAAACCGCTCGATTGCTCGGCCTGGCGGGATGTTTGGACGGAAGGAGGGACAGAGCGAGGCAAGCCTGGGCCGGGCTCGGGGTGTTTCCTACCTAGAAGCTGTTCATAGTTCTGTATTTTGCTGTTGGGGGATTCGTTTTAGGGGTGTGCTAAGCTAATCTAGACCAGTTGCTGAGAGGACCAAACAGTGCCAGGGATGCAACCCCGGCCTCCTGTGTGCCATGCGTGCGCGCTCTCTGGTCCCAGGGGGATGTTTGGGTTCCCGCCGGGCAGTGGGCAGGAGGTTGCCAGCGCACAGCTTCAGACCCGAGGCCTCACGCTTGGATCGGCCGGAAGGGGCTTCCCCCGGCTCTTCTGGTTTGTGATGTGCCCGGGTGACAGTCCTCAAGGGCTCTGTGCTTCCATTGCTGAGAGCATCTGACCTTTGAGATCGCGGCTAGAGGTCAGCACTAGGAGCTGAGACGGGGTGTCTGCAGGGCACCCCCTTTCTCCGTGCTGGCGAAGGTGCCTTCCAGCTGCCCTGTGCCACACCTTTGCACATTGGGGCGTGGGTGCCGGGTGGCTAGCGCTGCTTTGCTCCTGCTCCCCGGGGAGGTGGTCCAGCCCTTGAGGGCAGGGCAAACGCTTCATACAGCTGGGACAAACCCCTCTGGCGGCAGATACCCAGAGCCTGCAACCTGAAGTTGGAGGGGGTCTCAGATGTTCGTTCTTTCTCTCAATAAAACACCTGGACACTGACCAAGCTCTCCCCGTTGGGAGGTTGTTTCTTGAGAGGGGCTGGCGGTTCCGATCATTCTGCTCCCAGCAGGTACCAGCCAGAGCTGCCTGGGCCTCCTGCCCACCTGTTCCAGAGGCAGGTGGGGGAGGGGGAGCCCGGGAGTTTCCTCAGGCTCCTGGGAAGGGGGCAGGTTCTGGAACAGGAGTCCCGGCCTTGTGAGAGCTTTGGTGAAAGCGAGGAAGATGCGCGGAATGCCTTCCTGCATGTGGGAGCAGTTACGAAGGATCCGTTCTGGATTCCCGCAGGAACCAACCTTCACTCATAAGGGGCATCATGCAGCAGCCCCCCACGGCTCCAGCTGGCTCCCCTCTGCGCGCCTCTACTCTGGTCCTGAGCGCCCTAGCACCAATCACTTGCCACTCTGATCCTGGCACCGGGCCTGGAGCAGGCTGCTGTCCCTGCAGGCGCTCTGCGTTGCTGGACTGACCCTATGCTCAGCCTCCTCCGAGGTCTGTTTCTCTCCTGCCCGGTGCAGTTTGGAGCAGCTCCTGCAGAGGGCGCTCTCTCCGGCATCCTTCCCCCACTGATCAACACAGGAAAGGTCTTAGATTTTGAGCCCTGGAACTTGAACCTGGAGGCTGCAGAGTCTTCTGTGGAGTCTGTGCTGATCTGTCTGACCCAAGTCCAAATAAAGCACCTGCCTGTCTTGGACAGCCTGGCGTCTGGGGAGCTCAGCGGCGCAGGGGCCATGCCACAAGCCATGGACCTTCCCGCCTCACTCTCAGAGCCCCACCTACCGGGGCCGCCTCACCCCTGCCGTTCCCCAGGGAGCTGTGTCCTGCCATGTGCGATCTTGTTACCCGGCCAACACCTATGGGTGGGTACCTGGGCGTCACCTGGCTTCATAAACCCAGAGGCTTGATTACGTTTGAATGTCAGGTAAACAAGTGATTCTTCAGCACCTTCCAAATCAGATTATCAGAGTTGGACTGGTTTTGTGGTAAGAGTGTGTCCCTTGCAGTCTGGGGACTCAGCTGATGCTGAGAACGACACTATGATCCAGTGTGATCCAGCCTCACTAATTTGGGGTGTTGGGAGCTGGAGCCATAGCACGATGGGTAGGGTGTTTGCCTTGCACATGGCTGACCTGAGTTCAATTCCCAGCATCCCATGTGGTCCCCGGAGCACCGCCAGGGGTAACCGCTGTGCATTGCCGGGTGTGACCCAAAATGAAAAAATAAAATATTAATTTGGGGTTGGGGCTATACCTGGCAGGACTCAGGGATCTAATCTGAGTTGACTGCATGCAAGGCAAGCACCCTACCCAACTGTTACTGCTCCAACTTCATATCTGCTAATTTTTATCGGGTCACACCCAGTAGTCCCCAGGATGGTGCTCAGGTAGCCACACAGTTCCAGGAATTGAACCCGGGGCATCAGCATAGAGAATAAATGCTCCGGCCCTCTACGCCCACTCCCCGTCCCGACCCCTTGCTGGGTTTTCAGCCCTCACTGGGCGCACATCTCACCTGCTCACCATCATGCCCTACTGTGCTGGGTCTAACTCCGACCACACCACCCCAGAGTGGACACGCTAGTCACGTGCCACAGTGCTGCTGGCCCATCCATCTGTCTCGCAGCCCAGGCCACACTGAGCATGCACAAACAGGAGGGTCTCCAATCCGCCTGGGGCCTGGGGACACCTAGCCTGGTCTGGTCATCTGCTGAGGGTCAGGAGCGCCAAGGCTCCTAGCTGGCCCCTGTCCCCTTCTGGGTTTCCCTTCTCTGGGGAGGAAGAACAAACCCCACTCCAGCAGGGGGTGCTGGAGGCCTGGGGTGCCTGCACAGCCCTGCTCCCTCCCCCGGCAGCCCACCCAGCAGCCCGGAGCCTGTGACCTGCTGGCCAGCCAGCACTCGGGTGTGGATGCAGGGGTGAAGCATGTTCTAGCGTGTCGGGAAGCACCAGATCGTGTCGGTTACCATGGCGCGCTCTCTGAAATCTTTATTTCCTTCCAAGTGGTCTCATTAGCCCTCAGATTCAAAGCCAGGTCACCAGCAGCAAGGCTGGTGTAGTGGTCTGGGGCACAACCAGCTAGCCCCAGACTCTCCTGGGCACAGCTGCCTCTCCTGGCAGGGCTGCGGCATCGCAGGCAGAGGGGCTGTGGTCCGAGGTGGGGATGGTCGGCGTGGGTGTGTGCAGCTATGGAATTCACAACTCCAGCCAAGGATCCTAGCAGAACCCCGGTGCAGCGGGGTGCAAAAAACTCCCTGGTGAGCTCACTGGTGGCCTCTGACTACTCCTCATCTGCAACCAGAAGCCCAGAGATGAGCAGGATTCTGTGAAATCCAGGCGTGGAAAGTGTTGACGGTTCCTTTGATTGACTCAAGACTGACCCAGGAGAAACGGGATGGGGAGGGCAGGGCCCCCTCAGCCCAGCGCCAGCTCCAGCCCCGCTGCAGGCCTCCCGGGAGGGTGCCCAAGGCAGTAAAAGTTTGCTTTTACTCGGCAGCAAAGAGGAGGGTGCCTGTTCTCATGGCAGAGGAAGGGCAAGAGTGTGAGCACATGACACGGGGCTGAGGCTCCTGCCTGGTCTGAGCAGAGGTGGCCCAAGAAGGGGGGGTCGCGTCAAAACCAGGGTCCACACTACTGCTCAGGGGCCCTGGCATGTTCCACCTAACACGGGATACTGTGTCGGGTTTGGAGAAAATCCACTCGGTTCCGTTGAGCAGTCTGGCCTTGCTGTTCTCCCTGCCTGCAGTGGCTGTGCCTTCCCTACCCCCCAAAGCTAGCATTTGCAGGGGTTCAGCCCGAGTAACTTAGCGTGCCATGTAGGGAGGGCCGCCAATCAAATACAGGAACAGCCATGACCCGTGAATTTCAGCTCATCAGAAAGTAGCACATCACCTTGTTGTTTTTTTTTTGTTTGTTTGTTTTCTTGTTTTTTGGTTTTTTTGGCCACACCCTGTGGTGCTCTGGGCTCACGGTTCACTCCTGGTGGGCTCAGGGGACCATACAGGGTGTCAGCGATTGAACCCGGGTCTGATGACTGCAAGGCAAGCGCCCTCCCCCTGCACCAAGGCTCCAGCCCTGCACATCACTCTGCAGTCCTGAACACTGTGTGGGGCAGACCCCTGCAGAAGATGTGCTTTGGGGCTGCAGAGGAAACTCCAAGGGCTAGTGCATATGCCATGCAGGCCAGAGGACCGGGTTCAAGCCTCCCAGCAGCACAGTCCCTAAGCACTGAGCTGAGAGGGACTGTTAGATGCAGGTCCCAAAACATACCATGCGACCTGCATTTCCTCCCTTCCTCCCTCCTTCCCTCCCTCCCTTCCTCCCTTCCTGTCTTCCTTCCTTTCTCTCCCTCCCTCCCTTCTTCCTTGGTTTTGGGTCACACCTGGCAGTGCTCAGGGCTCACTCCTGACAGGCTCAGGGAACTGTATGAGGTCTTAGGGAATTGAACCCGAGTGAGCTGTGTGCAGGCAGGCACCTTACCCGCTGTACTATCTCTCCAGCCTCTGGGGCCTGTGTTTTCTTTGCCAGATGGGGCACCCCAACTTTAGGGGAAGCCCCAGCGGAGGCTCCCCTAGGTTGGACGCTGCTCCAACAGGGCTTCTGTCTCCCTCAGCCTCCCCAGGACAGCAGTGCACTCTGCAAGGCCACCACGAAGCCAGGGGTACAGTGCAAGGAGGAGCAAGCGCTGAAGGACCCTGAGGTCTGGGGGCCCGGCAGGGTGGGGTGATGACAAGAAGCACCAGGGCAGGAGACCAGGGCGGGGGTCGGGGGCTTCTTTCTCCGTGGGGTGGGGAGCTGGCTGTGCAGCTGTTTTGCTATTAGGTGCTGAGAGATGCCGACCTCTCGGGATGTCTGTCGCCTGCACCAACGCCATCGTCCTCAGAGCAAGTGCTGGAGCCAGAGCCAGAGCCCAGAGTCACCTTCCTGCTCACACTCCTGAGCACAGAGGAGCTGGCTGAGCCCAGGGTCCCCGACATGTAAGAGGGGGCCGGGGAGATTGCACCCACACCCCGCCAGAAGACTGACAGGCTGCAGGAGCCTGCTTGGGTGGGGCTCC